AGATCATCTTGTAATGCCAGAAAGTAAGGAAATACTCCAAAAACAAACTAAGAAATAAATAAACAATAAATGCATACATTAATAGGAGTATGTCAAGGAGGGACACAGAGGCCAACTAAAAGAGCTCCCAATGCCCAAAGCTAGAACAATTTGAGGAATGACACAAAGTACTATTATATTACAGCCCAAATAAATACCCTAGAGTCCGTATAAATGATTGATTAAATTTTTTTAAATGGGAGTGTTTGGGAAATCTCCTGTGCAGAATTCCAATAATTTATGTAGATACTTCCCATTCCTTGTCTTAACTCCTCACTTAACTCCCACCTCTTAAGTGTGGAATGCTCATATTAACTTTTTTCCAAAGAACACAGTATAAAAAGGGGGAAATAGAGTCACTTTACATTGAAGAAACTTGACAAACACTAGTTCAGACAGGCGATCAAGGTTAATATCAACAGTGATGAGTTATGGTGATAGTCTATACTCTTGATATGATGTGACGGGAATGTCACTCTACGTCTCTGGTCTTCCTTCTAAAAATCCATCACCCTAGTCTAATCATGAGGAGATATCAGAAAAATCCCAGTTAAAAGACTTTCTACAGAATACGAAACCAGTGATCTCAAAACTGTCAAAATCATCAAAAACAAAAAAAGTCTCTGAAATTCTCACACCTAAGAGCAGCCTAAGGGGAGACAGGACAAGAAATGTAATGTGGTGTACCAGATAAAATCTGAAAGAGAAAAAGAACATTAGGTAAAAATTGTGCTTTTGGAAGGTTTATCTTAATTTTATATTAAGTACAAATTAGTTTAAAAGTCTACATAAACCATGACACCATTTTTATGACAAGAATTCAAAATAATGCATAGAGAAAGATGATGTGGGATGTTACATGAGATAATGATAAAAATATTATATCTAGATAATTTTTCTAGAAGATATTTTTAACAATAAAATAGAAAAAGCTGGGGGTGGGAAGAAGGTATGTGGCAACTGTACCTGCTATCTTTGCAACTATATTGCAAATCTAAAATTATTCTAAAACAAAAATTTTGTTGAAAGAATGAAAGAGAGAGAAATGGAGGGAGGGAGAGGAAAAGGAAGGGAGGAAGTAAGAAAGAGAGGGAGGGAGGGAAGGAGGAAGGGTCAATTTGTATTTCTTAATTTCTCTTCCACAAAATCTTCAGGAAAGTCTACATGTTTACCTAAATACGTGTGAGGAATTCCTGAGTTCTGCATACATGGACGCAGAGGAAAAGAGGAGCTCAGACAGCTATATTTCAGAGGTATGTATGCAAATAACCACACCAAGACAAGTGTGCACACATATAAAAGAGAGGAAGAGAAAAATGTGCTACTAGATTTCAGAAGGAGAAGAGAACACCCCTGAATAGGAGAGAAATTGTGCCTTGACACTGAAAGAGAAATCCACGAGAGAAAGTTATTAGGAAAGCATTCCAAAGGAGAGAAGGGTAGGAGTAAAACCAGGCCAGCATGGGATAGGTTCAGAAGACATGAAGTCACTAGTCTGGAAGGAGCACAACTAGCCGAAGGAGATTAGTAGAGAATAGATCAAAACATTTTGAAGTCATGACATGGAGCATCTTAAAAGTATTGAAAAGGGAATTTTGCTGAAGTGACATCATCTAATTTTGCCAAGAAGTGTATGCTCACTAGCTCAAAAATCAGAGCTGGGGTTTGGTAGCATTAATTTGATAGCAAAATGTGGAACTGGCCATTTAAAGGAGTAGTACATAAGGAGTAGATCAAGGAAAAGGACAAAAGCACCCAAACCGATGAGGATGGGGGGCAGAGATGAGCCAACTGTTGGATTATCCAGTAGGCAAATTGGTTATATGCTTAGAAAACAATCATCATTTATTTCTTATTTTATTTATTTTTAATTTATTTTTCCATTTATTATTTTTATTTTTCAATTATAGCTTACTTTCTATATAATTTGGCATTGGTTTCAGGTGTATACCATAGCAGATGAATGATCATATACTTTACAAAGTGTTCCCCGTGAAACTTCCAGTACCCATCTGGCATCATACATAGTTATCACAATATTATTGACTATTTTTCCTGTGCTGTACTTTACAACCCTGCAACTGTACCAATTTGTACTTCTTAATTTTTTCACCTTTCACCCAGTTCCCCAAAACCCTTCCCATCTGGCAACCACCAGTCCACTCTCCTTCTCTATGAGTCCCTTTCTATTTTGTTTATTTATTTTGTTCCTTATATTCCACATATAAGTTAAAATCATGTGGTATTTTTCTTTCACTGATTGACTTATTTGACTGAGAATAATACCCTCTAAGTCCATCCATGATGTCACAAATGGTAATTTTTTTTTCTCACAAGATGCTGTTTGTTAAAGATGAAGAGTACAAATTTCCAAACGAACTACAGTATCTCTTTGAAAACAAACAAAAAAGTCTTCATTTTTAGATGGTTACATTTTTAATTCCATAATAGCATTTGCAATATCAATTTAGGAGAAAAACTTATTTGTGAACTACCAGAAGAAAAGGCAAAAAATAGAAAACATTGGTAAGTCACAAGACCCTATTATCTAATTTTAAAACGCAGATCAATTCATTAACCAAATGGGTTGTCAGATATCAAAGATCCTTAAGAATCTGTTTCTATGACTTCTTGTTACACAAGAAACAATAAATGTCCATATAGTGTAAACCTAATTGTAGGGTTCTCTGTTACCTGTAGCTGAGAGTATTTCCAATGGATACACAATCTGTGAACTAGACTAGATGTGATTGTTTCAAACATCTTAACAATATAATCATATTAACCTAAATAAGTCCCATCAGTTAGACCTTCAAAGGGGAAAAAAAATCAACCTGAAAATAATGTACAAGCAAAACAAAATAAGTAAATAAAATGAGGCAAACAAAACCTTCCTGTGTTTATTTAAAAAAAAAAATAGTTTAGCAGCTGGATCTGAAAGATCTGACCAACTCAAGGGTTCCGGTTGACAATGGACAGATGAGTTTGGAGGTCAAATAAAGTCCACACACCTGTTTAAAAATTGGCTAAAATGTAGGTCATATATCCAGCATCTGCTCTAAAGACAAAGGAAAGCAGATTTTTGAAGTTGCAACTCTCTGAATCAGATTTTATATATAATAAAAGGTAATAAAAACCAAATTATTTTATTATCTTCAATAATATACTGTTTTAGTCTGTGATTCTAGAGAGTTTCATTCTGGAAAATGAGAAATTAATTTTTTATATTGTTAAAAATCCTGGCTTCCACTTTTGTATTTTATAATTTAAATGTTAATCCAAATAGCTAGATGATAACAAAATAACTAGTGATTGTTTTAGATACATGGAAATGGTAAAAATGAGACAAAGCAGAATGTTGCTGAGTCTAATTGCTAATTATATATTATCTTAGATTTTAAAAAATACTTGTTTCGTGCTTAACAAAATAAGGGAAAGTCCAAACCTAATAAAAATAATGAATTCAAAGAGCAATATGAATGGAAAATAATGGGACCAGAAGGAATAGTAATTTTATCTTTATGGAGTGAATACAAAGATTTTTATTTTAAATGAACAAAAGTTATGAAAACCTGTACCAAATCTATGGCAACACATCTATGTCTGAATTATCAGTTCATGTGGCTGATTATCTGAGAAGGATACAGACGACAGATCTTTTAGAGGACCTCACACACAGAGTTGAGGAGAAAATGGCCACTATGCTGCCCGTGCAAGTCTCAGACCAGGCTGACATCATCCATGTCTAAAAGTATATAGCAAAATGTTTGCATAACCCATGGACATAGACAACAATGTTGGGGACGAGGCAAGGGGGCGGGATCAGGAGGAGAGGGTCAATGGGGGAAAATGGAGAAACATCTGTAACAAAAATAAATTAATAAAAAAAATGTTAGGTATATAGCAAAGGTTATATGATCTAGACAACCAGTTTGTATTTCATGAAAGCTCCATTAGCCATAGAAAATATCGATTGGCCTTCTAGTCTACTAATCTCCTAGGCAAAGCTAACACTCAGATGGTCTGTTTTCTAAAGAACTGTGAAGATGAGTTCTTATTCGTTTCACATTAAATTTTCTGTCCTTTTAACATAGCTGGAAGGCAATGTAATTCTAAGAAGTTTAATATTCCTGACTTGAAAGTCACATATTTTTTTTCCTATGATCCAATTCCAGACACTCATCAACTATTTTTCTCTCTTCTTGGTGTTTACATGATCTTTGACCTTGTGGATAATATTATATTGTAAAATAGGGCCTCTATTAACCCAGAAAACAGCCACCCAGGAAGTTCATGTACACATAATTCCATTTGAAATTAGGGAGTAAGCCAAAATAGCTCTAAAACAGGCAACCCATGTCTTATAGTCAGTACTCATCGACACATATTTTAAATTAATTTCTGAGGTATCTAATTTTGACAACAGATTAGAAATAGCCAATTTGTACAATCTGACATCTTGAAGAAACCAACCTGATGCTGACAGGGGGCAGAATGTACAGAGAGATCCGGGTCCTGACACCTCACGCCAGCAAGTCCACAGCTCAAACTAAAGCCATTTGCTACCGATGTGTGTTATCGTAAACTGTGAATACTGGGGAGGACCCTAGAAATCTAGTCATGTCTTCTTCCCACAACATTATCCACGGTGAGCACAAGGACTGACTCACGGCCTCATAAGGAAGTCCACCCCATTTTGTAAAACACTTTTATGAATGTTATTAAAAAGTAAAAGACTGCTTCTCTGTAACTTCAGTTTATTAATTCTAACTCATTTACTCTGCCAGCACTTATAGAGGAACTATTCTGTGTTGCAGGCCATATTGTCATAAAGACAAAACACGTCTGCCCTTTGTCCACCTGGACAGACACACCCTAGAACATGGATAAAAATAAAGCTCTGATTGACTTTCCTTGCCACTGTCTCAAGTTCCTCATCCCCACATCTCAGTAGCACTTACCTGAATCACACCTCCCAAGAAGGAAACCGATGCCGCAATGCCAATCTTTTCCATCTCAAAGTCAGATAAGCCCAGCAAACTTGTGTTCCTTGGGGTGGTGAGGTTCTGGCTACTTGCAGGCACAAGCCGTTCCACAGCATTGGCTGATATTAAGGATGTCAAGGCAAAAGTGCCTAAAAAAGTCGACGGGGAGGGGAATCTCCTATTAGTAACAGACTCAATAAAAATCATCAAAGTCCATCATTAAAGTTGAATGCATATTGTAAAACCAAGCACATCTATGAGAAACGCTCTCCTCAGCACCCCCATTCCTCCAAGCATTGTTCCACTCCAAGGAATAAACAGAAAACTGCTTATGTCTACACATATTCCTTCAACATATGGCCACATGCATCTACTTGCTATTCCGTCCCCATCTCTCTGCACAGAGAATGTCCTCAGGGCACACATTAATATCATGGACTGAAGTAAATCTACTTCTTCCATGTTTCCCTAATGCGACAAAGTAAGGTCTTTAAGTAATAAGTCAGGGGGCATTTTTAAATTTGCTCTATGTATTTACACAGTGTTTTTCTTTAACCCAAAATTTCTGGGCTCTATCTGTGGGAATTGGCATTTCTTTGTCTGTATGGTTCCATTCTCAGATATGCTGTGCCAAGATGACAGGCATCAGAACTCTTGGCAGGAAGAGAACACACGGAAAATGATCCCACATTTGAGTGAGGCCAGGGAAATTCTTGGGAAATACCACTGAACTTTAATTACATTAGACAGGAATAGTATACTTAATCATTTTATGGTTAAGCATGTTATACTATAATAAAGGTCTACTCTGCTATGAATGTACAGAGAGTACAAAGAGGCTTTCAGTTTCTGGAGTGGATCCTTATGAATACGGGATTGCAGCCAGATCTTGACAGACAAGAGGGTTTGCATAAGTAGACATGGGAGCAAGCATATCAGGCAAAGAGCTTCAGATTTGTGCAGAGAACTCATAGCTGGTGAGCCTCCTGAGGTCTTTATATTTACAATCTTATTTATATTGTTTCCAAACTCTGAAGTGTAGATATATGACTTCTATTTAACAGATGAGGCTTTGCAATGTCTTACACCTCCTCCCAGGGCAAGACTAAGAAATAAAACTAAACTGGGGAACATTTCAGTTGGAATTACTAACTGAAGTCCAGCTGAGGAGGAAACGTGGAACACGGAAGGACAGAGACGATCTGGAGACTGGTGGGAAGGGCACGATCTCCGAGTGACTGGCCCAGCTTCCACAGGTGGCAGGAGAGAGAGAAGGAGTATCTCGGCTGTGAGGGTTTTTCCCTGAGGGGATGGAGCCAGGATCCCATGCTAGGCTCCTCGGCTCAGAGCACCACAACTGAAAAAGCGGCCCAGGAAACATCCAGCCTTGAAAGGCAGTAGGGCTTCTGGCTGGTTGTAGATAAAGCCACAGGGATTTGATTTGTTTTTGTTTTTAAACCCAGAGCACAGAATTTTCATTTTCAGCTGCTCACCCCAGCCTCCAATGGAGGGAGGGCAGTATGGACTGGAGGTGCCTGAGGAGAGGCTGGGGTAGGAAGCACTGGGGAGAGACATGGAAAATTGGCCGTGTCGTAACCTGGTGACCTAAATTCAGTCCTACCTCCCTCGTACTGAAAAGCCACTTTTCCTGAGAGGCGCTGGACCCTCCCAGAAGCCACAGCTCAGGTAAAGAAAAATACCCTGCGTTAGGGATACAGCAAAAATAGAAATACAAAGAAACAACCCCCAAATGAAAGAAAAAGAGGACACTACAGAAAAGAGATAAATGAAACAGAGGCAAGCAATTTATCAGATATAGAGTTCAAAGTAGTGGTTACACGGATGCTTAAAGAACTTAGTGAGAATTTCAAGAAACTTAGTGGAAACTACAACAGCATGAAACAAGAAATAGAAAAAATAAATAATAATCAGTCAGAAATGAAGGATAATATATCTGACATTTGGAAGGAATCAAAAGTAGATAGAATGAGGCAGATGTACAAATCAGTGATTTGAAAGACAAGATAGGAAAAAGAACTTAATTACAGAAGAAAAGAGAAAAAAAGAAATAAAAAGCAGGAGGATAGTTTAAGGGAACTGTGGGACAATATGAAACATAACAATATCTGCATCATAGGGGTACCAGAAAGAGAAGAAACTGAGCAAGGAATAAAGAACCTGTTTATAGAAATACTAACAGAAAACTTCCCTAACTGGGTGAAAGAAAAAGTCACACAAGTTCAGGAAACACAGAGAGTTCCAATCAAGATGAACCCAAAGTGACCCTAGTACACTGCTGGTGGGAACGCAGACTGGTGCAGCCACTGTGGAAAACATTATGGTGTTACCTCAAAAAGTTAAAAATTGAACTGCCATTTGACCTAGTAATCCCACTTTTAGGAATATACCCTAAGAAGCCTGAAACACCAATCAGAAAGAATATATGTACCCCTATTTCATAGTGGCACTATTTACAATAAAACCACCCAAGTGCCCATCAGTAGATGAGTGGATTAAGAGGCTGTGGTACATGTCCACAATGGAATACTATGCAGCTCTAAGAAAGAAAGATCCCTTATCTGTATGATGGCATGGAAAGACCTGGAGAGTATTATGCTAAGAAAAACAAGCCAAGCAGAGAGAGATGAGTATCACATGATCTCACTTATGTGTGGAATATAATATACTAAACAAACTGCTGAACAAACTTAGCCCAGAGACATAGAGGTGGGGTACAGACTGACAAGCCTCAGAGGAGGGGGGTTTGGAAGGGAGAGATAAACCACAGAACTTGCATGCATGTATGCATGACCAATAAACATAGACAACAAAGCTGGGGATGGGGCAGGGGGGAGGGAAAGGAGGATGTCAATGGGGGAGGGGTGAGAAACATCTATAACAAAAACAAATAAATACACGAACCCAAAGTGACACACTCCAAGACACATCATAATCCAAATGACAAACATTAAAGACAAAGAAAGAATCTTAAAAGGAGCAAGAGAGAGACAGAAAGTCACCTACAAGGGAGTACCCATTAGAATATCAGCTGATATCTCAATAGAAACACTTCAGGACAGAAGGGAGTGGCATGAAGTATTCAAAGTAATGAAAAGCAAGGACCTGAACCCAAGACTAATCTATCCAGCAAAGCTATCATTTAAAATTGAAGGTGAAATAAAGAGCTTTCCAGACTAAAATAAGGCTAAAGGAGGGGATTACCAACCAACCAGCATTGCAGGAAATGTTAAAGGGATTGCTTTAAGAAGAAGAAATCAAAAGAGAGAGGAACATAGCTATAATGAATAAAAGTGGCAATAAATAAGTACCTAACAATAAAAACCTTAAATATAAATGGACTAAATGCTCCAATTAAAAGACTTAGGAGAGTTGAATGGATAGAAAAACATGATCCATATATATGCTGTGTATAAGAAACCCACCTCAGAACAAAAGACTCATACAGACTAAAAGTGAAGAGATGGAAAAAAAATATTCCATGCAGCCTCGCTGGTGCTGCTCAGTGGTTGAGCATTGACTCATGCACCGAGAGATTTCTGGTTCAATTACCAATCAGGGCACATGCCTGGGTTGTAAGCTAAGTCCCCAGTAGGGGGCATGCAGGAGGCAGACAATGTTTCTTGCTCATTAATGTTTCTATCTTTCTCCCTTTCTCTTCCTCTCTCTCTAAAAATCAATTTAAAAAAGAAAACATTTAAAAAATATTTTATGCAAATGGAACTGAGAAAAAAGGCTATGGTAGCGATACAAAGGCCAGAACAAGAGAAAAAGAAGATTATTACAAAGTACTAAAGGGCTGAATACAACAAAAGAATATAAACCTCATTAACATATATGCACCCAGAACTGGAGCACCTAAGTATGTAGAAAACAAACAAACAAACAAACAAAAAAAACGAACAAACAAAAAAGACTCTTGATGGATATTAAGGAAGAGATCGATAACAATACAGTCACACTAGAGGAATTTAACACCCCACTGACATCACTGAACAGATCTTCCAGACAAAAATCAACAAGAAAAGAGTGGCCTTAAGTGACACACTAGATCGGTTGAATCTAATTGATATTTACAGAACATTCCATCTAAAAGCCATAGAGTACACATTATTTTCAATTGCACATGAATCATTCTCAAAGATAGACCATATGTTAGGATACAAAATAAGCCTAACAATTTCAAGAAAATTGAAATCAGCCCAGCTGGTGTGGCTCAGTAGTTGAATGTCAACCTTTGCACCAAGAGGTTACCAGTTCAATGTGTCATGCCAGGGTTGCAGGGTCTATCCCCAGTAGAGAGTGTGCAGGAGGCAGTCGATTGATATTTTTCTCTCACACTGATGTTTCTATCTCTCTCTCCCTTCCTCTCTCTCTAAAAAAAATCAATAAAAACATATGTTTTATTTTATTTCATCTTTTTTAGAGAGAGAGAGGAATGGAGAGAGAGTAGCATGCTTATATTGATTTTTTTAGAGAGAGATAGAAACATCAATGAGAGAGAAATATCAATCGGCTTCCTCCTGCACGCTCCCTACTGGGACCGACCCTGCAACCCTGGTATGTGCCCTGCCTGGAAATTTAACTGGGACCTCTGAGACCACACTCAGCCACTGAGCCACACTGACTGGGCTAAAGAGATATTTTTAAAACTAAAATAAAAAAGAAGAAGAAGAAATGAAAATAGTACCAAGCATCATATTGGGTCAAAATGGAATTAAACTAGAAAGCAACTATAATAAAAAACTCAAAAACATTCAAACACATGGAGACTAAATAGCTTGTTATTAAACAATGAATGGATTACCAATTAGATCAAGGTAGAAATAAAAAATTATATGGAAACAAATGATAATGAACACATAATAACACAAAATCTATGGGACACAGTGAAAGCAGTTCTGAGAGGGGAGTTCATAGCATTACAGGGCTACCTCAAAAAATCAAGCAAAATCTCTAATAAACTGTCTAGTCCTACAGCTAAAAGAATTAGAAAGAGAACAAGAAAAGCCCAGAGTAAGTCAAAGGAAGAAAATAATCAAGATCGGAGTGGAAATAAATGACATAGAGACACCCAAAAAAATAAGACAAATGTTCAATGAAACCAAGAGATGGTTCTTTGAAAAGATAA